TCATGCGGGCACGTTTTCAGGCATATTTAGGGGTTATAAATCAAACCTACGCACTGGCAAAATATTCAGGCCCACTCACATCTTAATAAATCATGCGCTCGCATTTTTAGGAATCCATCACATGCGACTTCGTATGAATTCACAAAACATCTGAGCCACTGACTTGACTTTTAGAAAACACCTGTTTTTTTTTTTGCTTTTTTTACATTTGCATTAATCTAATGGAAGTTTTTGTTGAAAGCGACGAACACTTGAGTGAGTAGGTTCAGCCAGTCCCTGGAGCAGTTGGGGTTAAGGGCCTTGCTCAGAGGCTCAACAGCGAAGAGACGACCTTTTAATCAGTCTTACGAGCAGAGCCACACACTGGCCTCAAATCAAAGCCCTTTTTGCACAGAGATATCGTGGAGAAAAATCGATTATAGGGCAATCTGTCCTCAGAAATAAAATATCACTCAAAGAGGCCTTATAGGCAGGTGAGCCGATACACCGCCTTATTCACCAGCGGTATTACGCTTAGGCTTTCCGATGCGCCGATCTACCAGAAGTACGAAGCGTCCGACCTCCGCTTACGGAACGGGCGTGGCGTAATCCATGACGGCAGACTAGACCGTGCCTTTGCAAAAATCGATTTCGTCTGATAAGTATGAGAGGCAGGACTGTGTTCAGCTGATGGATCGCAGGCTGCGGTGGGCGGCGTCCTCACTGCGCTGGGATGGTAGGAGGACCTTCCAGTAGCGACGCGTCTCTGTCCCTCAGACCGTGTCCCCAGTCTGTGGGTCACCCGGAGAGGGAGGCACAGCAGAATGAGTGAATCCAGCCCTAAAGGCAGCTACAGTGCACCCCCCCCCCCATTGTATCTAATGCTCTCATATTATAATATAAATATTTTAAATGACTTTACCTCAGGCCTTTAAAAATGGAGCTTCATAAAAAGAAACGCAAGAAATAATGACAATAATAAAAAAGTCTCAGATATAAATCTATATTAATTACACTCCTCAAAATAGTCAGTCTTCACATGAGTGTGGAGTTTGACACTTTAAAATACATTATATGGACAAAAGTACTGGGACNGGGGTGAAACTGAACCTTTGTCCCAATTTAGTATAAGCTTTGTGCAAATTTTTAAAAAGCCGGAAGTTTTAACGTGACCAAAAATCTGCCGATAAACCCTTTAAAGTGTCCGTAAGTGGATTATTTCAGCGGATGGAGCCTTACCAATAGCTGAGATTTGAGTTCTTCATTTAATATGAAAACCTGTCCAAAGCCATTGGTAAATTGCTGAAGTAGCTATTCCATATTGCATCACCTGAAGTCATCAGACACTGGACTGGAAACAAAATGAATCATGAAAGGTGGTATTGAGACATTCAAATATGCAAATGACAGCCTTCTTAAATGAATGGATCCTCAATTAAATCATCTCTTCTGTGACATAATTACCTTGAGAGTATTGAATGCTAACATTGCTTCTGTTGATCTTGAATCTGTGTCCCCTTTGATCTGTTTATTAAATGCCATCCTTTTGTTTAGAGCGATTGCTCTTCATGCTATAGATTTTTCTGCCCTTAAAAGGGACGCCAGATTACAGCAGTCAACGGAGGGGCTTTCGAATCATAATCGGTGACTCTAAACGTCCGTCATACTGACCTTCTCCGGAGCAGCCTATGTGTGTTATTAATTAAAGGGTACATCAGACTGTTGGTGTCACGGGGCAGAATGTGGAGCCATTCAGAGCACGATCCAGCAAACGGGCCCCTAATTAGCCGTGTGCCTTCGTCCTCTGAAAGCAGTGACCATCTCCAAGGGTGACATATGCCAGGGATTGTCCCGGGGGCACGTTTTCTGTGTAAGCCTCTATATATTTGGTAGCATGTAGCTCTTCAGGTCCTAGTTTTACTCCTAGAGTGGGACGTTTGCTTCGGTTAACTGTCGCTAGCCGGAGCACATGGTTAAACTTACCTTCACAAGACTACAGACTGGCCTACTAATCGGCTTCACCGAGCTTCATCCTGTCATCGCCTGATACGACGAGGTCTCTGGTGCATCGGCTTGAACACAAGAAGCACGCTCGTGCGAGGGCCTGCCCGTGTTTGCTCCTGTGCGGAAAGTGTATTTTTCTGTGATGGCAAAACCTATAATAATGTAACAGATTGACAGCCATTGACCTGCTGCTCCTACAAAACTAGCTGTATGGTTGGATAACCTGTTATTGAACCTGGCAGATGGGTTTATATTTATTCTTTGGTTTTGAGTGTATAAAAGAATTTCAGATATGCAGTATGCGGCCTCTTTTCTGTCTGTTAATTGTTTTTAAAAGTTTACTAAACACTCACACTATACAATGGTGGAAGATGAAACCTATTCTGTGCACGTTCTCTCTCCAGTGCTTCATTCCGAGTTAAATATTTTGACTCGTGTTCTTCAGACCACGACTGCGAGTACCTTTGACCCAGATAATTCGCCACAAGCGCTGGAACAGAAGCTGACGGAGAACAGGAATGAATAAAATTATTACGGAGACGGCCAGAGCCCGGTAGCCTGTTTCCCAAGCAGAGGATTTAGTCCGACTGCAACACAGCTGAGAAAATCTCCAGGCCCAGACGAGGGCTGAATGAGATCTCAGCTGCGAGATGCCAGGGGCGGCAGGGCCTGTGGCAGACGGAGCCGTGGAGGTGACCGGCATTCTGAGACTCCGTTCCAGCTGAAGCACTGCTTCTTTCGGTTTCCGTTATGTACTGTTCACTGTGGATTGGCCGGGGAGGAAGGCAGACTGACAGTAGTCCTGAGTACTGCTAAAGATCTCCGAGACGGTACTGACTGCATAAAGAGCAGGAATCCCTTGTGTATCGCACGCTGGCACTTCCGAGTCAAAATTTATTTCTGAAGTGCTTTTGCGAGGAGCCGATTCGAGACTAATGACTTTCCTTAGCTGATTCTGAAGGCAGCTAATGGACTGTGTGCTGGATATGAACTACGCAGCACTTAAGAGACTGAGGTTAAACACTACCTCAGACAGCTGGCTTGGTTTCACGTGCTGCAGTCATATCAGTACAGAGGATGCCATCCGGGGAATGAAGGTTATTACAGGTTGATGGCCAGGACACTGTGAAGATGCCCATCCCAACGTAGCATATGAAGTATTAACAGAAGTTTTAGTAAACAAATGTTCACAAGGAAGTTGGACAGACAAGGAAAAATGCTGTCTTCTGCTCGTGAGCTCGAGACCTGTGACTCCCTGAAATGTTCTAGATTCAGTCCTATTGTGTTTTGGCCAAACTCTAAGTGCTGAGGACTTTGAGGATAGTATACAGCAGGAATGTTCCCATTTGGATCTGTATTTGAATCATTGTCCATCCAAAGCCCTTGACCACCGTATCTCAGGTTGAATAGATGTGGAGGGAGATGTTCAAGGCTACAAAACAGGTCAGCTGTTTTGAGGCAGGATCACACCAAGGCTCTTAGTATCCATTATTATGGGCTATGTTACATTACGTGCAGCGTTTATGAAATATGTCTGAGTACAGATCGGTTTTCAATGGGAATCCACAATCGTGTTCTGGAGGACAATGTGGGCTTTGTTCCAGCCGAGCAATTAAACTCAAATTATGTGTAATTTTGGCCAGGATGTGTTTTTCTGCAACAGTTCAAATATTTTTATTGTCAATAGTTTTAATCGTTTAATAACAGTGATTCATGTATAAGTAAATCTGTCTGAAAAGCTTAGCTGATTGTAATACCTAGTAGAGTAATTAAAAAAAACCATTAGCGGATAAGCGGGTATTGATGGCAGATGGATGGACTAATCAGTATTGTTTGATGGGAATAACCTGTTGCTTTCTCCCTTAATTTCTGGATTAGATTTTGTTTTATTTAAGTCTCAAAAAAAGAAAATACATCAGTAATCAGAAGACTACTGTGGTCCAGGATGACGAAATGATCACCTATAAATCGACATATATGACTATATGTGTTCAAAGGTCCAGGTGAGGTATCTAAGATATACCTCTGTGTTTGACACTTGGATTTTTTCCCCCAAATCTTACTAAATTGCAACCCTAACAAACCCTGGTGGACTAATGTCTCCAGAGAATGATGGGAGAGATGAAGTTGTAAGAAATAAGCTGTAATGAACTGAGTTGCTGTTTCATCAAGGGCTTCCACAGACCCGACCATGGCTGGCCTCGTCCCTCCAGGTGTGACAGCTGCTGTTATACTGGAGATTGACTGAGGGAAGGGGTCCTCCGGCAACAAATGATGGAAAGAGCATGACAACCTAGAATGTTCTGCCGATCCCTATCTCCACCTGAGAGGTCCGGCACGGCTGTTGGCAGGTTGTCAGGATTCTGCCTCCCCTTGGACACCTTCAGTAACCTGGGTCCAGAAGTTCAGAAGTGAGACCCATCATGATTCATCAGATGTGAATTTGGCCGACCCATGCAAGTGGTCAGAAAGGACGTTTCTTCTTTTCTTCAGCCAGTCACCCAGCAAGCCGAGGTTACCTGCTGTGTTTCAGCTCAACACCTAATTAAAGCCAATGGTATAGCACTGATTCTCAAACAGCTACATAACCAATATCTTCTTTGTACATGTTATTGGAAAGTACATGGGGCGTCTGACATGATGGCTCTAAAATGCATAAACATTTTCCAGGACAAACAAATCCTTTTCATGTTTACAAAGTAAAATTATCCATCCATCCATCCATCCATCCATATTCCAAATACTTCCCTCCATCCATATTCCAAATACTTCGAAGGCTTCCAAATACCAGAATAGTTTATAAAATTTACTGATTTTAAAAGAAAATTAGATGGAAAAAAAACATTGAAAATCAATTCTGGGCTGACACCTGTTCAGCTAGTTTTCAATGCAGTTTGAAAGCAGTTGAGAGTTTTGTTTTGAGAGAGCATCTGCCAAATCGTATTCTGCTTTGACGATTCGATCTGCGGGTGTGAAACCTCGGCCCATGCAGACTTGCTTTTCTTCACTTGAATTCTTCTGAGTGACTGGATGTCAGTGGAGAAGGGTTTCCATTGAATGTCCTCGTAAACATCTCCTCGAGCCTTTCCGGCATGCTGGAGGCTGGCCCGATTTGAGGTCTTACTGCTATTTTGAGTAATTTTATTGGCATAATATGTCAGCTTTATGGCTAATGGATCACAGTTCCTGGGTAGCGCTGTACAGCTGGCTCATGCGGGCACGTTTTCAGGCATATTTAGGGGTTATAAATCAAACCTACGCACTGGCAAAATATTCAGGCCCACTCACATCTTAATAAATCATGCGCTCGCATTTTTAGGAATCCATCACATGCGACTTCGTATGAATTCACAAAACATCTGAGCCACTGACTTGACTTTTAGAAAACACCTGTTTTTTTTTTTGCTTTTTTTACATTTGCATTAATCTAATGGAAGTTTTTGTTGAAAGCGACGAACACTTGAGTGAGTAGGTTCAGCCAGTCCCTGGAGCAGTTGGGGTTAAGGGCCTTGCTCAGAGGCTCAACAGCGAAGAGACGACCTTTTAATCAGTCTTACGAGCAGAGCCACACACTGGCCTCAAATCAAAGCCCTTTTTGCACAGAGATATCGTGGAGAAAAATCGATTATAGGGCAATCTGTCCTCAGAAATAAAATATCACTCAAAGAGGCCTTATAGGCAGGTGAGCCGATACACCGCCTTATTCACCAGCGGTATTACGCTTAGGCTTTCCGATGCGCCGATCTACCAGAAGTACGAAGCGTCCGACCTCCGCTTACGGAACGGGCGTGGCGTAATCCATGACGGCAGACTAGACCGTGCCTTTGCAAAAATCGATTTCGTCTGATAAGTATGAGAGGCAGGACTGTGTTCAGCTGATGGATCGCAGGCTGCGGTGGGCGGCGTCCTCACTGCGCTGGGATGGTAGGAGGACCTTCCAGTAGCGACGCGTCTCTGTCCCTCAGACCGTGTCCCCAGTCTGCGGGTCACCCGGAGAGGGAGGCACAGCAGAATGAGTGAATCCAGCCCTAAAGGCAGCTACAGTGCACCCCCCCCCCCATTGTATCTAATGCTCTCATATTATAATATAAATATTTTAAATGACTTTACCTCAGGCCTTTAAAAATGGAGCTTCATAAAAAGAAACGCAAGAAATAATGACAATAATAAAAAAGTCTCAGATATAAACTGTCCATTAAACACAAATATATATCTATATTAATTACACTCCTCAAAATAGTCAGTCTTCACATGAGTGTGGAGTTTGACACTTTAAAATACATTATATGGACAAAAGTACTGGGACACACCTTTTAATTGCTGAATTCAGGTCTTTCATTCAGGCCCATAGCCATAGGTGTATAAAATCAAGCACTTAGCCATGCAGTCAGGTTTACAAGCATTTGTGAAAGAATGACTCATTCTGAAGAGCTCAGTGAACTCAACAGTGGCACTGTCATAGAATTCCACCTTTGCAATAAGTGAAATTTCTTCTCTGCTAGATATTCCACAGTCAACTCTAAGTGGTTTTATTGGAAAGTGGCATTTAGGACCAACAGAAACTCAGCCATGAAGTGACAGACCATGTAAAGTGACAGAGCTGGGTCGCCGAGTGCTGAGGCTCGTACTCGGTAAGTCACCAAATGCGTTCGAGTTCCAAACTTCCTCTGGCATTAACACCAGCACAAAAACTGCGGCGGGAGCTTCATGGAATGGGCTTCCATGGCCGAGCAGCTGCATTCAAACCTCACTTCACCAAGTGCAGTGCCAAGCGTCAGATGGAATGCTGTAAAACACACCGCCACTGGACTCTGGAGCAGTGGAAATGTGTCCTGTAGAGTGATGAATCACGCTTCTCTGTCTGGCAGTCTGATGGACGAGTCTGGGTTTGGCAGATGCCAGGAGAACATTACATATCTGACTGCATTGTGCCAACTGTAAAGTTTGGTGGAGGAGGGATAATGGTGTGTGGTTGTTTTTTAAAGTTTACCTCCACTGCTTATGTATGAGCGCTGTATATGTTTGCCGAGACAATCATAATTATTTTCATCCTTGTTTAAATTCCTCATAGACGGGTTTGTGAGAAATTTATGTTTAAATCCTTTTTTGTTTTATAAATATCCCAATATTTATTACAACAAAACGCACTGCAATACTTGAAAATTTTCCAATACCGTGCTGTCCTAGTATATTATACAAAATTTCTTGTTGTACTAAGACATTTTGGACAATTCTAAGCTTCCAACTTTGTGGGAATCGTTTGGGGAAGGACCTTTTCTTTCACAGCATGACTGTGCCCCAGTGCACACAGCAAGGTCCATAAAGACACGGTTGTGTGAGTTTGGTGTGGAAGAACTTGACTGGCCTGCATGACCTCAACCTCATCAAACACCTTCGGAATGAGACTGTGAGCCAGGCCTTCACATCCAACATTTGTGCCTGACCTCACAAATGCTCTTCTGGATGAATGGACAAAAATTCCCACAGACACACTCCAAAATCTTGTGGAAATCCTTCCCAGAAGAGTGGCAGCTGTTATAGCTGCACAGGGGGGACCAGCTCCATCTTGGTACCTATGGATTTAGAATGAGACTTCATAAAAGTTCCTGTGGGTGTAATGGCCAGGTGTCCCAATACTTTTGTCCATATAGTGTAGCTTGCTCCAGAGTTAGCCATAGTCAGATCTGTTTTGTAATGGGTACCAAGAATAGCATTACTACTTTTTTCAGTTTAATTTGGGGGGGTGTAATCATTACTCTTGTACTGTACCTTACACCTTTAATTACTTGTTAAATACACCAGTGCATGTTAGACTGGTTGGACCCGGCACCTTGGCCCCTTCGCAGGCATGGCGACCTGCTGTTCAGGTCCAACACCCCCTGCAGAGGAAGAGAAACGTAGCCGATTCAGGTCACCTGACCCTGGCCTGTTTTTGGCACAGTTTGACTAACGAAATTCTTTTGTTGGGACAACATTAGTTATATGAAATTAAATTAACTACCTGCCAATTCTAGACAAAGATGAGGCAAATATCACAGAACTGAACTAAAGAGTATTTTAAACTAATATTTTAACATTCCGGTAATATTTAGGTATATAAAATGGAATAGAACATTGTTTCTTAATGAAACTTGACATCTCATTTTAGGTATAAAACTTATTCAATCAACGATTTCTTCTAACGTTGGGCGAGTCTGCAACCTTTGGGCTACAAGTCTGCATCCTTAGCCACTATGCACCCTGCTGGCCATCGTGGGATATTATATTTTTAAGTCTGCAGGATAAGCGGCGGTCGCTTGTTACAGCACAGGCTGCGGTTGCACCAAAGAGCTTCATGTCTGCTTCATCTACTTCTCAGTCCCTCTCCACCACGCTCCACGATTCTGTCTACCACACGACGCCCACACAGTGCAGCAAAACGCAGTCGTATACTCCGTAGTTAAGTTCCCCAGACTGCAGCTTTCCTTGACAACACCGACATGGTTTGTCAACACATCTGGGACAGCGTGGAAAAAGTTAAAAACATATGTACACATGCACAGCAACCTTTCCATGTAGGTGCCAGCAAGCTTGAGCACTCACTAACATTTTGCTGGACAAATACCATCATCAGCAGGGAAATATCTGTTGATTGGAACGGAAAGAGGAGAACTGAACCTCGTTAACTCTCTCGCCATCTCTCTCCAGCACCCGCGTCTCTGGACTCCAAGTGCAGCTTTTGGAGCCGGCACTGAGTCGACAGTCATCTCCGCATCTCTCAGTTCTCAGTCTCCGGTGGCAAACAAGCATCATCCCCATGTTCAGCTTTTATACTAATTTCACATCCAGCTTTCCTGCTGTTAACCAACCTGCTTAGCATCTGTCATCTCAGACTCATTCCTCCTCCCCTTTTAATTTGCGGATCCTTCAGCCCAGTTGTCTCAAAACAGTGAAAAATCAACTAATTATATCACGAGTGGATGGATCGTGCGAGGGATGTGCTCTTTACTTATTCATGAACACGAACCCGTGTGGAATTATCCCAAATGTCCCCGACTCTGTCTGACATGTAAATAATCGGTATCATCTAGTAATTACGCTGTCAGCCAATGTCTAATTAACTGTCCCCTTATTGTGCCACGCGTCCTGTTGTTGATAGTCGCGAGATGAATCGTGTCCGTACGTGTGGCAGTTCTGTGCCTGTGACACCCCGGCAGGTTCGACTCGAGGAACAAAAACATGCATATCAATCAACAGTGTTGTGACATTTTCAGTTGTGCAAAAAGAAAAGATGAACATCTCTTCAGGGAGAATTTAACCAACAGAGGACCGACGTGATGCCATTGCCCATCAGAAAATATTGCGTAAATAAGTCTGATATTACTTTGCTGTATATCTGCTCTCCTCGAGTACGGTGGTGCAGAAGACTTAAAATAACACATCCTGATTAGCATGTAATTGCTAACGCCCCAGGATTGGAGGCTCGCTATCTAAAATAATTACTTAAATACGGCAATTAACCAGCGAGTACTCCTACACCTCTCTCTTTTATCGATCAGGGCACGGCTTTCTTCTCTGCATTTTCTCTTAAAGCAGCTGACCTCTGCAGAGTGGCCCGTTTACCCGTCTGCACTGTAAAGGTCACCCGCAGAAACGTCACCACACCGTCATCCTACCCTACAGGCTCCCAGGCTACTCTTCCTACATACCGATGAGGACGCAAACAGATCCATCCCGTAATTGCTCACGTTCTGTCAACACAAATACCCGACAGTCTTCGCTGGAACCCTTCTGAGAAAAAGACATTAATAAGGGAAAACAAACACAAAATGTCAGGTTTTAAATAATAAACAAAGTCCATTGGATGTCATAGCTAAAGGGAAGGTCACAAGTCAAAAGGTAGAGGTTTGTGTTCAGTAACGAGTAGAACCCAACCCTGGGCACAGGTTACAGTGCTCAGTTACTGTTAAGTCACCCTGAAACACAATCTGGCTGTTCAATAAGTATATAAATGTCAAAAAAGGACCTACTTATATTGCTGAAAATTATTGTACTTATAGATTTTAAAAAAAAAATCAACATTACTTTGTTTACCAAGAGGCACAAATTAATCAGAATTAAACACAAATTAATCAAGGTTTTAGCCTGCTAAGATAAACTTTGATGTTGACTCTAAAATCCATAAAAGAAACAAACAATTCTTCGTTTGGCACATATCAGTGTACTTTGCTCAACTCACAGCAGGCCAAGCCACTCTTGGAGTTCTCCTTTGTCTGGAAAAGGAGTCCTCTGACCTGACTGGAATGCCAATGGGGCTCGGTGACACATGGCCTGCCCCTGTTAACAGAACTTTGAAGATCTCATCAGCGCCATGCAGGTTCCTCACCGCTCGGTCCCAAGGCTCTCGCTGTCACCGGCCGTCCTCCTCCGGAGCTCTCTCTCTCTCTCTCTCTGCCCGGATCCCCAGCAGCGGACACTGTACCTAATAACCGACAGATTCTCTCCGGCCTTCCGCTTCAGATGGCGCTCCAGCCCTCAGAGCTGCACTTCTCATGTTTCCGTACCTCTGGGCAGTCGGCCGCCGATTATAAATTCAGCCTCAGTCAATCTCTCAAGTGCTTCCTCCGGTCCTCGAAATCCACAAGGGGCACAGATGTTTTTGGGTAAACTTCCTTTGTGCTCGGACAACCAAACACAGCTTGTGGTGCTGATTAATTGTGTCACTTCTACAAAGTGCTTAGATTTGACAGGATCTGTTACTCATTACTTCATAACTGACCACCCCGAGTGTAATCTGGAAGAACAAACTAAAATATCTGAGGCATTTAATAAAGACACAAATTCAAAACATAGATACAAGCAAACTAGACTCCATCACCAATATCTTCACCAATATCTAGCCGTATCACAGCCCCACTTATTAGGCATGACGCCTCCCGCAACTACTATTGTATAAAAGTTGATGGACTGCTACTCAGTTCACAATCTCTATATCAAACATTTATTATAAATAATAGAAATTTCATACATCCCCCTGCATTTTTTATTCTGATAGTAGCCAAAACTTCACCCTGGTTTGGGAACTCACCAGCACATTTTTCTTTATAAATATTTTACATTTTCATAGTGCCCCTGGCCCGACATTTTTGTCGGGGGTGGGGGGGGAGGTCTATGACATTCGGGCTAAATGGGGGGGGTCTCCCAATTACATTTTACATTATGATTGTGCGCCAGCTTTTCTCTGGCCTGCTAGCTGTGCTGTGCATACTCATACTCCAGAACATGTTAAATTTAACAATTTTAAATAATGAAGTGCAAATAGTATTTAAAAAATGAACGAACACAGTGCCAAATACAGTGTTTTTATTTGGCATGGGAACAATGTGGTTTTCATTGTAACTTCACTGCTATTTTATGAATGTGGGGGGATTTTCATTGCCATCAAACAATAGTTATTATGTGAACGTTGCAGAATATGGTTCATTTTTCATGTTTTTTTTTTTGGATATTCCTGCTCCCCCCCGCTAAACTTTTCCTTACTGCAGAAGATACCCCCTGTCCCCCATTAAACACAGAACCAGTCTGAATGTGTTTGGGAATGGTGAAGTGTACTGCACATAGATTTTAATGAAAATTTAACATTTTATACTAAGTGTGCTGTTTCTTTTTTTCTCAAGACAGAGGTTTTGGCCTCCCAGGAACTACAGGCCTGTAAAAGTTTGCTTAATATCGCCGCAGCAATTTTAAAATTATAGTTTTTCAGTCAGCTAAACCCTAAAAAAGGCCTGGAATAGCAGCCTTCCCCAACGATGCCCGAAGTAAAGCCCAGCTGGCTCAGCCAGTCATCTGCACTTTTATTGGTACTAAAGTTCTGCTTGCTTTGATTGGCTGGAATTTTCAAGTACCCTGCTGATTATTGGCTGGGAGACTTTATTCGGTTTCATTTAGGCTCTGTGTCCTCTGTGTGTACTTATGCCTTTCATGATATATTTCTTTTTATTAAAGGTATCCCCCAAAACAGGTGCAAATAGCCTGGAAATGACAAAAAAAAACCATAATCCCTGCCCTCATTGTTGTTACCAAAGTCATGGTAATGGCTTATTGCCTGTAAATCAGTGTCTATAATTTTAAAACATGCGGTGCCCCCCGCAGGGCTAAAACTGCCCCTCCTGTAATCCACTCTCTCCTTTACTTACACGTATTGCCATGTTTATGGTTTTCCTCAGGTCTGCAAAGTAATTACCTTTTTTTTCTGAGCTGATAAAGAGCTGAAATTAAATCATGCTACGCTCCTATGTACTTTTACGGAAAACGGTGCTTCACAGGTGACTAATTACGTGTGTTTACCAGGCCGCGATGCTGCGCGCCTGTGCTTTCCTCCCGTCAAACACGCCAAGCTTCGTAAACAGCGAACAAATGACCTGTTAGCGCCGCTGACCCGTCCAAAGGGCAGGCGCTCGCAACGCCGGGCAGCTCACTCGACGAGTGCGGTCTCTGTCGCTGAGCGTAAACACAGGTGGTGCAGGCCGTCAACACTGGATGCAGTGTAACGATGGGACAGTGTAAGTAACGGCTGCTTCTGCTTCACCCTGGATGGGATGCCAGTGCATCGCAGGGCCCAAACACTGCTAATGAAAAGGGACCTACGTATACAGCTCTGAGAAAAATTAAGAGACCACAGCAAAAATTTCAGTGTCATTCAATTTTCAGTTTATGGGTGTGTGTCTGTGTAAAATAAACATTTTTTTGTAAACTCCAACTTGGCTCTTCCCTGCTTCTTCAGTCCCGCTTAAAGGAGCCTGATACGAACTGTCCTAGCAGTGCACTTCACACCACTCAATGTTTCCCATTCTTTTTGAAGGTCGCTTGAGGTTATCCTCCGATTTATGAGGCACTGTCAGATAAGTTACCGGTCATCTCTGGTATTAGAAAGTCACTTCCGCTCCCTGTCTGGCTGGTTTCTGGTTGTTCCCAGCATTTCCTGCTTCACCTTGTTCTTGTGTACTGCTGTCTTAGAAACCTCTAGCCTAGAAGCAGTCTGTCTCACTTTGTAGCCTTCTGCCACCAGAACCAGCATTAAACCAGGATTTAACAACGCAGATTATTAAAAAAACACAGAGTGGTCTCAGTTTTTTCCAGAGCTGTATGTTCACACTGGCTACCCTTCAGTACACAGAATAAACTATGATGGATGCAGCAGTTTATGTAATTAGCTATTGAAAATGTTATAAATCGTCATTTTAATTTGTGACAAAACATGGTTTAACATATCACTTTGAACGACTTTAAATAAATAATACTAATGCTAATTTAAATATCACTTAACTTTTTATCTTAAATGTCATTATGGTTGGAAGCTGTAACATAAAATGGAGAATGGATGGATGGTGCCCTGAAGTAACTCGCCGTTAAGGAAATGTTCAAAAGGAATGACACATCATAAAGCATCCCTCGAAAATGCCTTTTTCAATGTCGTTACCTTTGTGTTTTACATCAGCTAAAACTTCATTATATTTTTGAGATCGCCCAGTATTTCCATGGTCAAGGTTGTATTCATTTGTTAAGATAGACTCCTGGCTCTTAATGACTCACAATAAAGATTCCATTAGGAGGTAAACGTCTAACTATAGAGGGACAGCTACAGTGTACCAGAACGGCGGAGGATTTTAATTATAATATAAAGGAAACGTAACATTCTCACAACGCTATTACGGAGTTATATTACTACTAACCTTGTTACTGTGACATTAAGTTGCCATCAAAATGAATGTTTTTCCGACATTTCCCTAACGGCTTTAGTTAACACTGTTATTTTTGTATTTTTTTACCTAATGATCACAATGGCATAATTATCATGCAGTAGTAACACGCACAACAAAATTAAACAATAAACAATAGGGATTGTTCTGATTTCTCACCTGGAAAATGGGATTAAAGCAATATTTGGCTTAGGGGTGAGGACTGTTTTAGGGAAACAGCTGGTCTCGTGGGCTTTCTCTTAAAGTATAATGAAAGCAATATTGGTTCTGTCGGTTTCTGTCTGATCGCCATGGACTCGGTTGCATTAAATTGGTGTCAGCGGTTGTGCGCGTCGGTTCCGTACCCTTGTGCGCGCTTGTCGCTGCACTGCGCGGCTCGCCCCGGTCCCTGAGTCCGCCAGTCCCCGGGGAGCCCGCGAAACCTCCGTGGGGATTATTTCGATGTATACAGAAAGGTGAAAAGTTCCTTTGGTACTGTATCTACTGAGAGCTCGTCTGATCGTCAGAATGGTAAGAGGACACGCATGGGCGCCTGCAGCTGTACGCCTGTACTCACCGTGCGTGTCCTTGGCATTTAGGACTTATTACAGGTTTTTTTTGTCTTCATTACTTTTGCAACAAAAACATAAAAAGAGGACATAGGCTGCATAATGGGAAAACATGAATCACGATTTTTTTTCCCATTCAGAATCAAGATCACGATTTTCTATCATGATTCTTGAGCAATACATTTCACTCTATTATTATTTTGCTTTATACATTGTCTTCATGAAGGTGGAACAAACAATATGTAGAAATGCATGACATACAGATATTGTCCGCCAATATTTAAACAATAATTTAAACAATATTCTAAGTCAGCAGTACCAGAGCTCAAGACGCAGCAACTGAATTAACGGAGGTGATTACATTGGACGATCAGCCATTTTCCATAATCCGGGAGGAGGCGTTTTGTCTGAAGAAATGATTAAACCTGGCCCATAGATCAATCGTTCATTTTCTGTAGAATAAAAAACTATGTAACGTCATTATTTTAATATGTACCGGCAAGCTTGGCAACTTGTACAACCTTCGGCGAAATTTGACAAAAATATATTGCTTATCGGTATCAGTAAAAATGTCTGGTGTGCCACTAACAATATGATCGTCACTTATACGGGACTGTACATCCACTTCGCAGAACAGAAAGGGCACACTCCTGCTTTTTCCACATTTCCAGTTGTAAGAAATGCTAAAATAAACATAATCTGCACTTTGCTGTAACACTTGTTTTTCTGCCCCCCCCCCTCCTGTCTCGTGGCGTAACGCAGTCCTGTCAGTGTATATGTTCTTGTGTGTAGCGGAGGGGGGGTCAGTGCCCTTTGATAAAATACTGCAGGTGCCCCTGAGGATATGGGCCTCACCAGCAAAGGGAAGTACCACCAAAAAAATGTCATATCTGATCTAATTCCCTATTTTCTGCACAGGTGGACATTTTTTGGCTGTTAGATCATTTAGAAACCAGCAGTATGTTTTTTTTTTTTTTTTTTGTGAAATTCCTCGATCACCTGTCCTATCACAGAGGAATATCCCCTGTCTGGGATTCAGATGGAAAGCAGAGAACACCTCGCACCCAGCTGTACCGTCACGGTCGGAGAGGTGACGGTCAGCGGGAGTCTCGACTTCGATAAACTGGACATCGTACCGTGTTTGTGGTAATATATCTAAACCAGTGTTTCCCAAT